GTTGTTTGCCTTCAACTCATTTCTGACTTATGGCAACCCTAAGGATGAACCTATCATGGGGTTTACTTGGCAAGATTAGTTCAGAGGAGGTTTGCCATTGCCTTCTTCTGAGGCTGAGAGTGTGTGACTTGCCCAAGGTCACCCAGTAGGTTTCATAGCCAAGCAGGGAATCAAACCCTGGTCTCCAAACTTGTAGTCCATCACTCAAACCGTTATGCCACACTGGCTCCCAAAGAGCGATAGAAAGAGAGACATGCAATTCTGTGTTATTTTCAGGGGTGATGTTCAGCTGCTTGACTCTGAGTGGTGTCTGGCAGTAACAACACCAGAGGAGAAGTGAATCCACTCTGGGTGCTAGACCAGATTTTTGGAGAAGTTGTCCAAGGTACGGAGCCCAATCCCCAAAATAGGTTCTTGAACAGAACCAGGAGCTATTGTTTCCCTTGTGCCATCTTGCCCAGCATTGTGTATATTCTCCAATATATACACACACAACACACACACACACATCCAAAAGATTTCTGGTCCCAAGCATTTCAAAGAGACTCAACCTGTACTGCTTTCATTATAGAACATCACAAGCCATCCTAGTGGGCAAATGGGAGTTGTAATCCATTACAACAGAAGTGCAATGGGTTTAGAGACACCTTCTTGGGTATGGAAGAAAACATAGACATCATTTCACATCTTTTCAGTGCCGTTTTGGATATTGACAGAGTGAACAAGACTACAGATCAAGATACGCTCCTCTTTCTCCCCCTTTTCCTCCTGCAACTAGAAACCCCATGGGGAGCAAATATCTAGCTCTCGGAGTAAAAACAAACCCATTAGCGTTTGTCTTTGTACTGCTAATGAAGCTAATTAAGCTCCCTGCAAAGAGACTTGCAGGGAGCAGAAGGTGACTTCACTGGGACGTGTTTTTGTCCCTTGTCTCTTTGATCCCATACCCTCAAAGACTTCCAAGGAAGGGGTGGAATTGGAAGAGGTGGAACATATTAATTTTTTCCCCCATTGCTGAATTTCTTGAATAAGATATACCAACCAGCCATGGTTCAAGTTGGCCTGAAAGTAGTCTTCCTCTTTGCCCGCAAAACCCTAGTCTTGCATCTCAATCTAAGGCTGCAATCCTATCACCACTTATCTGACAGTAAGGCCTATGCTATGAATGGGGATTCCCTCTTAGTGGACTTGCATAGGATTACTAGGAAAACCCTATTGGCTAGAATCCTATTGGTGTCACACACCTGTTAGTACACTTGCAGTTGTACCACTTTATTTATTTAATTTACATCCTGCCTTTCTCCTGGCACAGAATCGAAGGTGGCGTACAATTTACAGTGCAATTTTAAAAGCTCTTAATCCAAAAGTTAAAATGAAATTTAACTAAATTTCTGTGTTGTTTTTTTTTAAACCACAAGTTAAAATAACTTTAAAAGATACTTAAAACTAAGAGCCGGCATGGTTTGAGTGGTTTGAGTGTTGGACCAATTCTGGAGATCAGGGTTCGATTCTCCACTTGGTCATGAAACCCATTGGGTGAGCTTGGGCAAGTCACACCCTCTCAGCCTCAGGAAATAGCAAACCTCCTGTGAACAAATTTTGCCAGAAAACCCCATGATAAGTTTGCTTTAGGGTTGCCATAAGTCGGAAATGACTAAAAAGCACAACAATAAAAACTACACACACACACCCATTAAAAGCCCTCTCTTCTGCAACCCATTAAAAATCAAATACCTCCTTAAATAAAAAGATATTTACATACTGGCAGAAAGATAGCAGTGAAGGGACCAACCAGATTTCCCAGGGAAGGGATTTCCATTAACTTGGGGGCAGTCGCTGAAAAGTTTCTCTCTTGTGTCCCCACAAGATGTGTCTGGGATGATGGTGGGACCAAGAGAAAGCCTTCCCCTGAAGATCTTAGAGCATGGACAGGTTCATATCGGGAAATCCAGGTTTTTCAAATAATCTGGAACCAAGCTGTGTAGGGCTTTAAAGATCTGAGCCAGCCCTGTAAATCCTGCCAGTTTCAACTTGTGAAGTTGCACATGGTAGGTAGACTTCTGAAGGGATGGGCAAGCATAGCAGATCCAGGGATCATCTAGGAAAGCACAGGGCCTGTTAAAAATGTGGTGACAAATGGAAAGTAGCCAGAAATCCCCTTCTAGTTTAGAAGAATCAGAGGAACTGTTTTTAATGTTAGAGGGGGCTCAAAATCAGTAGGGAGGGTCTTACTAATTTTGCCTACTGGCAACTAGGATAAATGACTTTCCCCATCCATTAGCATTGAAACATCCTTAAATATGAAGGCCAGAATCCTGTTGGGCATGAATATGTAACCTATAGTTATGCATTTGTAACTGCTACATATTCATGATCCCCTAGTTTAGGGGCTATATAGGGACCATGAAACCCCCAAACCCCACTTACTGGTAAGCAGCTGGTGGGATCAATGAGGGGTCCATTCTCCTTTCAGTAAAGAAGCAGTTGCCCGAGGTTCCCACCACCTCTGGTATGAGGAGGATTTGTGACAGATCACTCATGAGATGGGATGGGAACATCTGGCAGCCACTTCTTGATCAACTGGGGAATGGAACACTGCTGATGCCAGCAGCTGCTTTACAGTAAGTGAGGTTTTTTGGGGGGTTGGGGTCTGTCTGAGATCCACTACATAGCACCATAGTTATGGTGCTTCATAGTATGTAATGGTCATGCAGGATTCCACCAGAAGCCCTGCCAAGCACAATGTGTAGCTGGAAGTCCCCTCCATTATTTGGTGTAGTTTTCTTCCAAATAACTGTGCATAGCATACATATCAGGCAGCTGTTATTCCTGGAAGGGCTGGATGACCATAACTATCTTCATATTTCTTAGTGTTTGATCATCGAGTACTTATCTGATAATGGCCGAGGAGTCTTGGTTGTCCAATTTTGCTATATCATGTTGGGGAATCACCCACCCATCTCCAGCCTAATCCTACGGGATGTCACTTTCACCTGACTCCATGTTCTGGGATTCATGGGAAAGCCAGAATTTCTTAAAAAAACATTAAATAATGCATGGGGCCTTTGCAATCTGTTTAAAAGTTGGAATTCAGAGACATAGCTGTGGTAGTTTGGAATATCAGTATGCAAAGGGATCTTGTAGCACCAATTGTGTAGAAAACGTTGAAGCATAAGCTTTCATAGACTTGGTCTACTTCCTCAGATGCACCTGAAGAAGTAGACCAAGTCTATGAAAGCTTATGCTACAGTTTCTTCTACACAGTTGGTCTCAAAAGTGCTGAAAGGTCCCTTTTCATACTGTTTAAAAAGTAGTTTGCTACTTCCAGAGTCTTCCAAGAGGAGGAGGAGGAGGAGGAGGAGGAGGAGGAGGAGGAAAAGGGTGGTTTGGGGAGGACTACAAAAACAGTTGTGGGGCCGTATGTTGCCCATCTTTGGTTTAGAGCACTGCCCCCTCCCTTGGGTACATCTTGCAAGTGGCTTTGTCCTTTCTGATTTGTTTCATTTGGGGGGTGGGGGGGTTATATTGTAACATTTCAGTGGCATACGAGAGGAGGAGATGGGAGGCAGGAACAGCTTGCATTGAGACCACCTATGGCGCTTCTGTCCCCCAAGCTCAGCTGAAAAACACAGTGGCGCACATGCTCGGGTGGACTCAGGTTTGCGCAACCTCAAGGGAACATCTCAAGTCACAGGAAAGCTGGCAGGTTTGGATTCCCACATCATTCATGCCTCAGAGACAGCTGGGGCCAGGCCTCAAAAGAGGCAGAAAACCTGTAACCTTTGGGAAGAGATGAAAACCGAGCGTCTTACTTGACTGGATCAATAGAGATCCCATCATACCTCTTTGGACAATTGAGGTCTGGTCGGGTTCGCATTCGATTAGCTGCATTTTGTCCGCCTCGCTGAAACCCACCCATTGGCATTAACGGGATGAGAAACTTTCTTTCTGAGCTCCCAACGGCAATGGCTCAGATTCTACATTGTGCTTATGTAGCGTAAATCTACACTCACATGGTTACGCACTGGTTAGCCTACAGCACCTTTCCCCTGAATACTGGCATTGTGCAACTGATTGTATATCGGCCAATGCACTGCTTAGGTTGAAATGTGGAATGCACAGCGTTTGCTTCTACAATCCCAATGAATTGGGTGTCTTCAATCCCAGTGAAAAGAGATGCCACCTAAATATTATGAAGACCCTCCTGTTGGTAAGAGCTATTTGACAGTAAAGTATGCTCCCTTGGAGGGTGGTAGAGTCTCCGTTTTTGGAGGTTTTTCAACAGCTACCTGTCGGGAGTGCTTTGGTTGTGTATTCCTACATGGCAGAGTCGGATTGGACCAGATGACTCTCGTGGCCTCTTCCAGTTCTATGATTCTATAAGTGGGGTATTAAAAGCACAAACGTATTGTTACGCAGTATCTAAGAATGCAGAAACAGAGGGATGGAATCCTGTTGGTTACTCCCAACTGCTGGAGACATATTCGACTAATGTTGACTGGTGAGTTGACACTTGCAGATGTCCATTTGCTTCATTGGCTCTATTCTCATCAATACAAACTCTACCTGAAATTTAGGCTCTACTGTATTTGTGGAACTCTACTTACACATCCATGAACTGAATGCATCTGTTTCAAACTGTGTCCAAAAGTACATGTGGAAGAGAACTTATACAGGTACAGTGCACCAACAGAATTCCAGCCTATATGTATAGTTCTTGTCTGAGACTTAACCATGGTAGTCCATGGTAGTCCATCTTTCCCTGAGCAATCCATCAAGTTTTTACAGCTGCCTCACCACTTTCTCATTAGGGTAGAGAAAAGAGTCTGAATTCCCAGAATTCCATAGCATTGAGTGAGCCGTGGCAGTTAAAGTGGCATCAACTCAGATTATTTCTGCAATGCAGGTGCAGCTGATAACATGTAAAGTCTTTTTGGTTTGAGCTCTGTAGCTCATTTTAAACTTTCCCCCTTTTTATTTCTCTAAATTCTTTTAATTGCTCCAAATAGCTGTGTTTGGGTGAATTCCTGTAAATGATTGACCTTGTCCAGTAAGTTGTGTTTTATTTCTTACTTTTCTGGACATAATGAGCATTTGGAGGTTTTATCTGTTTTAGCTGCTTTGAGCTCATACTTTTATTGGGAATCGCTCCTGGCCTTCAGCAATTTTGTATGCTCTTAGTTACAGTTTTAGGGATTTCCTTTTCAATCTAATAGGACCTAGCACCA